TTGACGGGCTTCTCAGGCACCCTTCTCTTTTTCCCTCCATCACCTAGGAGATGACCTTGGTTCTCACGAGAAAGTTCAGTGTTCTGTCTAGTAATACGTTCTAACCTCCTTCCCTCTCCCATACAGTGTGGCAACGATGAACCAGGGAAATGGCCTCTAGCAGGTCCAGTTCAGCGTTGAAACACCTGATATACCGAAAAATAGGTGGTTTGTCTAAGAAATAAGAAGTGGGTCACAGTAGTAAGCAAAGTGCATGGTTAAAATATTAATTGATACATCTTTCATATATAATTTGCTAATTATACTGCGCATGTGATATGTGATGTAGTAGGTTTAGGGAGGGTCTCAGGAAACACTTAGGAGGCGGTCAGAAAAGAGTGTAACCTCATAGTACCTCAGCCAATGGGGAACGAGGAGGGATGCGGCGGCTGGGACAGGGCTGTATAAAGAAGTGAATGGTTTAAGTTGAAACTTTGGAGAGAACCAAGCTATGATAGCTTGTCCCGGCTTATTGCAATAAACATAACAAAAAGGTCTTTACTGTGTCTTGGCTGGTTATTAATCAGGCAAATTTATCACTGGTTGAGAAGGAAAGTAGCCAGCAGCACATAACAGCCTTTAAGTGACTCTTTGCAGATGTTAAGTTAGTAACACAACTGTTAAGTGAATGTGATTGATTTTGCTGGTCAGAAGGTCGCAAAAGATGATTACATAACCTCGGGACACTGCAACTGTCATAAAGATGAGTCCATTGCCAAGCATCTAAATTTTGATCACATGACCATGGGGATGCTGCAATGGTTGTAAGAGTGAGAAATGGTCATAAGTCACTTTTTTCAGTGCCATTGTAACCTCGAATGGACATGAAATGAAATGATGTAAGTCAAGGACTAGCTGTATTGCCTTCAATTGTAATCTTTAGTTCCCTCTGGTTCCCTGTAGTGTCCAACCTTCAAAGTCCCATCCTATCATATTTTTTAAGGGATTCAAAATCAAAACAGCATTTTCCCACAGGAAGGATTCTTCTAATTATTTTCAAAATCTTATTTCTGGACCCTTTATTCCATTGTTAACTTTGTTAAATCAATGTTCTAAAATCTCTCTTTTGCTGTTTAATAATTTTAAAAAAGTCCTCAACCTTGCACTTAAAACTTCTTTTACTAAGGATTGAAGGAAACTCACCTGATACTCACCTGTCTTTGCAAAGGTTCCTAATAGCTAAAAAGCAATTTGGAAGCAATTTGCAAAAGTAACTAAGAAATGAAGCTTGGTGAACATTATGTCCTGAAGTGAATTCAGTTCAGAAAAACAAACATTTAAGTCTTTAAATGCCACAAAATGTTTGCTGCATATCTGAGGTGCTGCAGAAACAAAACTCAGTGTGTAACCTAAACGTAATGAGTTCCCATAGACATTAGAATAACTGTTGCGTTTCTAATTAAATAAACCCTTAGCGAACGAACAGGATAAACCAGAAAGAGGCAAATTTAAATGCTCTAGACTCCAGTTCAAATTTTTCCTCCTTTAACTTGATGTCCTCCAGATGTGTTGGAACCGCAACCCCGCCAGAATTCCTGACCAATAGTCACAGTGGACAGAGAATTCTGGGAATTGAAGTCCCAACAGTGTCAGATTGGTGATGCTGGACTTCAGTCTCTTAGATTCCATTTCACGGGCAAAGACTTGGAATAATGTAGGTATTTCCTCCTCTTATACATATTTGGATTTTTAAAAAATGTATACTTAAACTGTTTGCTTGATTAGATGCTCTGGAAAAACCAACCATCCGTAGCATTTCTGGAATATATGATTCGATCTTCCTTCTTAAAGCGGTACTGATTTTCTGGATCTGATTTTCTGAATCTTCCTTCGGCTGCCCCTCCTTCTGACAGATTTGGCGGCTGCTGCGAGGAGACACTTGCCTCTTTGTATTCTCTTGATTTTTTTTTTTAAATTGGCACAAGGGGTCTTCTGTCCATTTGCTGAAGGGAGGACTTGTTGCCCCTTCCATAGAACAAGGCCTACGTTACGCAGATTGTGTATCTCTTGGCTAAAGCTAGTGTTAGAGCTGTAAATTTTGCAATAGTAATCAAATCATAATGGCTGATTTATTCTCCAGACACCAGTGATTATGCACTTGTGGCTTTTTCTATGCTAATACTGATGTGTGCAAATGGCCTTTTAAGTTTAAGTTTACTTGATTGTCATTGCACCTCGTACAACGAAATTAAATGCCATCTTCAGTGTATATCATACATAAGAAAACTATAAATGTAAGAATGTAAATCTTTCACATTCTACACAGTTGAATTGAAAACCCCTGATACTGCATTAATATTGCACTATACAATAGAATTCAACATGGTTACTGCTCTGGGATAGAAGCTATTTTTCAGCCTATTTGTCCTTGTTTTTATGGTCCTGTACCGTTTTATGTTATCATCTCTCTCTTATTAATTTGATATATATAGTAGCACATTCCACATGCACTTTTTAAAAACCAAGCAGGAGATGCTTCTCTGCCCCAAAGAGATTGCAACGTGTAATTTAACCGAGGAGAGAAGCAACCTAGAACTAAGGAGAAATTTCCTAATGGTGAGAGCAAGCAACCAATGGGATAGCTTGCCTTCAGAAGTTGTGGGTGCTCCATCACTGAAGGCTTTCAAAAAGAGACTGGACCATCATTTGTCTGAAATGATATGGGGCTGTGATGGTGAACCTAGCTCAGCTCCACCCCGCATGCGCGCATGCCATCTGCCGACCAGCTGATTTTTGGGTCTCTGCCGTGCATGTGTGTGGGGGCGCATGCGTGGGGGGCAGGGGGGAGCACGGGGGGTGTGGCACTTCCCCCCGCAGCCTGTCTTGGGCCTAGCAGGTCTCCCTGCAGCCTCCTGGGACCAAAAACAGGCCACTGGGGAAGGCCTACTAGGCCCAAAATGGGGGGGGTGTCAAACGCACATGCACGGGGAGAGTGTGGGGGGTTGCATGTACATGAACAGGGGGTCGCGTGTGCATTGCATTATGGGTGCAGGCATACGCGCGCTGTCGTCCACGCACTTTCGGCACGCGACGACAAAAAGGTTAGCCATCACTGATATAGGATCTCCTGCTCAAGCAAGAAGGTTGGACTAGAAGACCTCCAAAGTCCCTTCCAACTCTATTATTCTATGTTCTATATTCTAACTCAAAAGTCATAAACTTGTGGTTTGTTTTGAATGTATGATTTTTTTCATTTTTGGTTTACTTACAGAACTAGAAATGAACGTATACTTTTTAAATTATTCATTGGTCTTATTTAAAATATGTTAAATGATTTTCATTTTGTTTTACAAATGGAGCTACAAGTTATTGAAAATTAAGGAATAATGACATCTCTTTATTTTTGCCTTTTTAGGAGCAACAGGTAAAAAATAGGTTTGTGGTCAGAAATAAATGCCAGTATTGTAGAAAAACAAAGTTAGGTGCTCTGGCTTTCTCTTCCACTGTACCAAATCAAAACAGAAATAATTTTTCAGAAAACAGTCAAGAAAATGCCAGGATTGTAAATAAACTTCACAAAAAACAATCCTGAACGTGAAGCATATTGTTGTGGGGGAAATAGGAGGAGGAAGGTGTGGTGAATAAATTTACTGCCTTGAGTTATTTGTAAAAATAATTAAAGTGGGATACAAAAAGAAATTAAAATAAAACAATTATTACCGTATTAGTAATTTCTCTTTTTCATATCTATTCTCCTTTCAGCCTGTAGTGGGAAAAGCTTTTATATCATTTCCGTTGTTGATTTATTTCTTCCTTTGGCTCTCTCATTAACTACATACATAGAAGATGGATTTCAAAAACAATTTAAAATCTTAATTGTTTTTGTAGACCTAACCGCAGCATACAACACTGTTTGGAGGCTAGGTGCCATCTGTAAAAGGATCAGCACCATTCTTGTTCAACTTATATACCGAATTTTTCAGACTATAAAACGCAGCTCGATTTAGAGGAGGAAAACAAAGGGGAGAGTTTTTGGCCTCCACACATCCCTTTTTTGCCCTCCCTGGCCCCCAAAAGTACTTTGCACGTCCTTCCGCATGTCCCATTTTTGGCCTGCAGACTGTTTCTGGGGGCTAGGGAGGGTGAAAACGGGATGCGTGGAGGGTTCGGGAGGCCGAAAATGGGCCCACTTTTGGCAAAAATGGGACATGTGGAACACTGCAGAGTGCTTCTGGGGGCCGGGAAGGGCGAAAAAGGGACACGAGGGTTCAGGAGGCCAAAAACAGGCCTGTATTCGGTCTATAAAACACCAAAATTTTCACCCACTTTTAGGGTGGGTGAAGTGTGTCTTATACTCCGAAAAATATGATACATATAGCCAATCTTCTCTAAATAAATAAGCACAAACAAATAAATAAATTCTTCAATTGCCATGAATGTTTCCAAATATAGGACAACTCCTTTCATACCATAATCTTTTGAGCCAAGTGACTGATAAAAAATTATTGCCTCAAGTTCCTGAAACACGGGACTCTAGTTTACTTCGTTTTGAGGCCGCAATGTATAGGAACCAGAAAACTAGAATAGCCTTAATAAAGCTTAATGTAGGCTTATTAAGCACTCCGCCCCCCAAACTTTACAAACCCCAAATTCTGTCAATGTGTGCAATGGGACCCCTGCCATGTCCTACTGCAGTCCTTGCACTTCTCCAAAGGCTGTTATCTGCAAGTAGTGAAAATAGTGTGCAAAATTGTTCACGGAAGGGGCATCATTTAAATAAGGCAGAAGCCATGTAGCTTGAAAATAAATCTTCAGTGTTGCTGGTTTCCGCAGGGCTGGGGATCTCGGGGCTGGCAGTTAAGGAGATAGACTTGGTCCAGCGATGGCCAATTGCTGACTCATTGAGAAGTCTGGACAAATTGAACTCTTTGTCCTCTTTTTTTTTTTATCAGTGCTGAATCTGTGGGAAATGAAGACCTTAATCTCTCTTTCGACTTAACATTTCTTTTCCTCTGTTTTAGACCCAGCTCTTCATGATTTAACCCTTTCTGAAAAGGCACTTAAAGAAGGAATGGCAGGTAAAATCCAACTGGAACGATTCAAATTTTTCTCTCTCAAAGCTAGAATTGACTTGGACGACAGCCGTTTCTCTAGTCCCTGTTGAGCTGTATAAATATACATGAACCTCTTTCTGTTAAATATGTCCCTACAAAGCTACTTTGTTCATGACTGCATCGCCTAAAAGTCTTAACGTAATTTTGCTTAGATTGCAATTTCTTGCATTCCTGATTATGTTGGGCTGTTTCTTTTGACTTCTTTTATTTGTGCTCCTCAGTAACTCTGTAGGCTTGTTTGAGTATTTACCTTCAGACCGATTTACCATTCTGATGACTAAAGTCGCCATTCGCTTTGTTAACTTCGAACTGATTTTCATTCTCTTTGTAGAGAAAGTGAACAACTTCCCCCCACTTCCTAAATTTATCCCGCTGAAGCCGTGCTTCTACCAGAACTTTGCTGATGAAATCCCAATTGATTACCAGACGCTGGTGAGACGGATCTATCGCTTGTGGATGTGTGAGTTCAGCTGTATTGGAAATCTTGTTCACAGTGACAGGGGAGGGAGGTGAAAAATGCAGCTTGGTATCTTTCTGAATTTAATCTGCTGCTTTTTTGTCTTTATCGTTAGGCTTCAGGTTTCAGTTTCGTTTTTAAATAGCAAGATACCCAGTCCTTATGGGATATAGAGTGGAAAGCTAACACAAAACCTAGTGAAAACTTCCATCCAGACCAGGGGTGTCAAACTCAAGGCCCGCAGGCCAGATTCGGCCCGCAGGGTGCTTAAATGTGACCCGCAGGCCCGCCCTGGAGACAGTGAAGGATTAGCCCATAGTGCCTCTGCCGATGAAAATGGAGCTTGGGAGGGCCGCATGTAGGCCTCCTTTCTGGCCCCGACGGCCTCCTGCAGCCCTCTGCTAGGCTCCGTTTTCACTGGCAGAGGGCTGCAGGAGGCTGTTGAGGCCGGAAACAGAGCCTCGATGAGTGACATTGAGCTGGCCACGCCCCCCCGGGCCTCCTGAGGTCAAACACAACCCTGATGTGGCCCTCAGTGAAATTTAGTTTGACACCCCTGATCCAGAGAAATGGCAGATTTCCAATGACATGATAAGATAGTTTCCCAAGAGCCAAGCTATGTATCTAAACAATCTGGCAAAATATGTGCAGAGCATGGGACATTGGCAAAAAATATCATAATGCATGAATCATCCTGCAGATTTCATAGCCCCAAAGTCCAGAAGGATTAGATCAGTCGTTTCTTACCTAGCCTTTCCAGAGATATCGATCCTGCTACTTCCCAAATGCATCGGGCTGGCAAGAGGTTGTAAAAGGCAGGATTAGGCTAATAAGTGTTAATTTTACTGATTATATGCCATCTAGGCAGCACTACCTTTCAGCACCTCGCATTAGATAGTTTTTCTCCAGGATAATCTGTCTCTGACCTGGCTCCTTGGGCACCTCTCAGTACCATAATGAAGTCCCTCCATTTTGCCCTTGGTTGTCGTGTTCCTCCACCTTCCTCAGCCTTGTGGACTTGCCTAATTTTTCCATGTAGGAGTTAGAAGAAGTGATTTATTGATGACTCATCAGCCAGATGTCCTCCTTTAGACCAGTCTTTTCTAGGAACTAAGTGAATCAACAGGAGATGGCTGTTTCCTTCATGCTTATGCAGGGATTTCCCAAAAATGTTGCGGTTGCCAGCCAAAGTCTATTCTAGGAAAGAAGATTAGCTTAAATCTATTCCAACAAAGGGGCTACTGCTTAAGAGTTGGTGTTGGTAAAGGGTTGAACTTAGCATTATCAAGTTATTTATTTATTTTGATTTTTTATTCTGAGCATCTCCCCTACAAGGCGATTTTGGGCAGCTGATTAGTAATAAAACAACTAGTAATTAAAATATATTAAAATAGTAAAACCATATAGGTTAAAATTTTAAAACTATATAAAATCAAAGCTAAATGATGGACCTGTATAAAGCAAGCATACTTGCCATGGTGGTGCAGTGGTTAGAATGCAGTACTGCAGGCTACTTCTGCTGACTGCTGGCTGCCTGCAGTTCAAGTCTCACCGGCTCAAGGTTGACTCAGCCTTCCATCCTTCCGAAGTCGGTAAACTGAGGACCCACATTGTTGGGGGCAATAGGCTGACTCTGTAAACCGCTTAGAGAGGGCTGTAAAAGCACTATGAAGCGGTGTATAAGTCTAAGTGCTATTGCTACACTTGAAGCATCGAATTCAAACACAGCCATCTAGCTTTTTCTTACCATCCGTTTCTCAGCTGATGGCTTCCTTAGGGAAATCCAAGCCGGCTAGAATTCCAGGGATTCTGAGAGCCAAAAAGCAGCCATAGGGAAAGGTGAGGCTAGTGAGCGAGGCAAGGTGAGCTGGTATCAGCTATCCTCCTTTCAGTGCAGGGAATCCAAATTACACTACCTGCAACTGATAACATAGTTCAGATAACATGTACTTGAGATGGGTGGCCGTATAAGTTCTATAAATAAACAAACAAATAAAGATCTGGGAGCCTGGGACTGATCTTTCATAATGTCCACTGATGGTTGAGAGTGTATTCTTGTGCATATTTGTACACCTTAGTGCAGGGGTCTCCAACCTTGGCAACTTTAAGAATTGTGGACTTTAACTCCCAGAATTCCTCAGCTAGCAAAGCTGGGAGTTAAAGTCCACAAATCTTAAAAGTTGCCAAGGTTGGAGACTCCTGCCTTAGTGTATCTTTTTATGGGATTATCAACAGTCGATTTAGTCTGCTAGAAATTTAACATTGTTAAAAAAAAAATTGGTTTGCCGAAAATAAAGATCCAGGAGCCTTTATCAGAAGAAGAGACTTAAGATATATTTTAGTTTTTAATTAATTATCTTTGCTGCCTAAGAAAATCGGCTCGCTGGCCAAGAAAGCTTATCAACATCAAATATATATTAAAACAAAAATAACACAGCAATATATGACTAGAAATTTTTTTTTTTTTACTAAATTAAAATGCAGGGTTGAAATCTAAAATTTGTTACTGGTTTGTGGGAGTGGCTTGGTGATGGTGGGGTAATATGACTGGGTGGGCATGGCCAACTTTTTTTTTTTAACTTTTAAAAGCATTTTTTCTACAACCTCTTTGGCTGAAGAGGTTGTAAAAAAAATGCTTTTAAAAGCCTCTGACGATCCCAGCTGAGCCGCGCAATCATCAGAGACTTTTTTTTTTTACTTTTAAAAGCATTTTTTTGGCCGAAGAGGTTGTAGAAAAAATGCTTTTAAAAGTAAAAAAAAAGAGCATCTGATGATCGCACGGCTCAGCTGGGCATGGGGGGGGCAGGGATTTTTGCTACCGGTTCTCCGAACCACCCGCCACCATCGCTACCGGATCAGGCGATCCAATCCAAACCGGGAGCATTTCACCCCTGTTAAAATAGTAACAAAGCAGATCATCTCAACTGTGGCTGATTGCCAAAGAAGACCTATCCAGCCTCTGTCATAAAGATGTCTTCTGAGAGTTGGACTTTTGGTCCTTGGTTAATCGGCTTTATTGCCAAAGTACTATTGAGAGAAGCTTTCCTTAGCACTCCAACCTTCACCCTTTTCTGAGATCCAATTTCTCCGTTAAGCTTTCAAACTCCATATTGTACATCATTGCTTTAAAGTGCCTTGGATTTTCCCAGTACTTTAAATGTCTTTTTTTTTTCTTCTTCCATAGTTTACTGCATCACCTTGAGTGTTAACCTCATTGCTTGTCTGGCTTGGTGGATCGGTGGTGGAGGTGGTACCAATTTTGGCTTGGCAATTCTTTGGCTTATCGTCTTCAGCCCCTGTAGTTATGTCTGTTGGTTCCGGCCAGTCTACAAAGCCTTCCGGTAAAACTTCACACGCTCTTGTCCTTAAATTTCCAAAATCAGAGCTCCAGCTGCAGAATAAAGAAATAGGTTGGAGCGCCCTCCTTCATCATACCCCTAAATCTTAATTGCAATAGTTTGATCAAGGAGTTGAACACTTTCCATCCGAGGAAAGAATGCAACAATTGGGGCTGTTTAGAGAAAGAAAAAGGCACAGGAAGATGAATAAATTGATGCACAATAAAGCATGGCTCAGCAGGGATATCTTTTATTCCATTTCTTACAACATTAGAATAAGTTTTTATGTTTTTAATGTAATAAAAGTTTAATAAAGTGTTTATAAAAAAAAAGAATTAGAGGCCACCCAATGGAAATAATTAATAGAATTATTGTCCATTTACAGGTAGGCCTTGACTTATGACCACAATTGAGCCCAACATTTCTGTTGCTAAGTGAGGCAGTTAAGTCAATCTTGCCCCATTTTACAACCTTTCTTGCCACAGTTGTTAGGTGAATCACTGCAGTTGTTAAATTAGTAACATGATTGTTAAGTGAATCTGGCTTCCCCATGGACTTTGCTTGTCAAAAGGTCACAAAAGGGGATCACATGAACCGTCATAAGTATGAACCAGTTGCCAAGCATCCTAATTTTGATCACATGACTATGGGGATGCTGCAGTTGTTGTAAGTGTGAGAAAAGTCATAAGTCGCTCTTTTAGTTCTTCTTGTAACTTTGAACAGTCACTCAATGAATGGTTGTAAGTCAAGGACTACCTGTATCTACTTGTATACTAAATTTATGTTTCTTGTTCCTCATGCTTCCCCCAGGTCAGACAGCTCTTTTAATTTCATGGCGTTTTTCTTCATTTTTGGAGCCCAGTTTATCCTGACAGCCATCCAGGCAATCGGTATCAGTGGGTGGGGAGCATGGTAAGCAAAGCAACTGATTTTTACACATCTTCCATTTCCCCTCTCAATTTAGATTTTTTTAAAAAAACTCTGTCCACCTATACCAGTGGTGACGAATCTTTTACTCATTTGTGCTAACGCATGGCTCTCCCCCGTGCGCTATGCATGCAATTGCACCATCTGCGCATGCTTGTGGTTCTTACACATGCAATGCACACGTGCAAACGCCATCTGCACATGCACCTGCTGCGTGCAAGTACTCTTGTGCACATGTGCAAATGCGCACACGTGCAGGAGAGCTCCGAAGACCACCTAGGTCTCCTGAATTGTGCGTATGCACACCGGAGGCCCGAACACCAGCTGGGGCGCACGCACATGTGTAGCTGCAGGTGAGTTGGGTGGCAGCTCGCATGCCTGGAAAGATGGGTGCGTGCCACTTGGGCACGTGTGCCATAGGTTCGCCATCACGGACCTATATAATAGAAAACAGTTGGTGTTACAGGATCTAAGTAGTTTAATTGTTTCTTAACATTCTTAACACTTTTAACATAGGTTCAATTTGTCCCATTATTAAAGAACCCAGATCTTTAACAAAAAGGCCACTTTTTCCCAGGATAATGTACATCTTTACAGGCATTCTGTTATTGATCAGGTAGGGTGAGCTTTACGGACATGAAGATTGCAGTAAAGTTGTTGACAATACTGCTATAACTCTAAATAGCTGTAAAAAGGTTGATTCAGTCTTTTATGGGTTTGGAGCAGTTCTTCTAAACCCAATCAAAAGATACTTCTCAACAATTTTATAAATTTAATGAGTCAATCAATCAATTAGTTATGGAGAGTCAGTACTGTAAAGCAGGGGTGAAATGCTCCTGGTTCGGACCGGATCGCCCGATCCAGTAGCGATGGAGGCAGGTGGTTCGGAGAACCGGTAGCAAAAATCCCTGCCCCCTCCCCCACCATGCCCAGCTGAGCCGCACTATCATCAGAGGCTTTTTTTTTTACTTTTAAAAGCGTTTTTTCTACAACCTCTTCGGCCGAAAAAATGCTTTTAAAAGTAAAAAAAAAAGTCTCTGCCGATCAGGCAACTCAGCTGGGATCGTCAGAGCCTTTTGAAAGCATTTTTTTACAACCGCTTCGCCGAAGAGGTTGTAGAAAAAATGGTTTTAAAAGTTAAAAAAAAATTGGCCATGCCCACCCAGTCACATTACACCCCCCCCCAACCAAGCCACACCCACAGAACCGGTAGTAACAAATTTTAGATTTCACCACTGCTGTAAAATATTGTTTTGTTTCTGCTTCTAAGCCCAAACCTGCTCTAATGCAACATTACATAATTGTAGGATTTTGTCAGAGTCTTCACAGTGTGACTACTATTTTGAGACAACCCAGGAGCAAATTACAGTATCCAGAGGTTTGTCTTACAAACAGTGGTTTATATACAAGGCATATATATATATACATACATACATACATGTAGCAGGCACATACCAGGCAACCAAGCAATCTGCAACTCTACACGGAGAACTACAATGCGAATAGAACACTACGAGGAGAGATACACGAGGAGAGAGAGACGCCTTCTCATGGCCTCCCTTATATAGACAAAGTGACTCTATAAATCTTAAACTGGCAACAACCCTGCGGACCCATCCTCAGTCTTAATGACCCTGCTGACTCATCCTCATTGCATCATCCTGGTCCACAGCCTTACAGCGGCTGGTCAGCTTTAAATCTTCATTACTCTGACAGATTTGCACTTGCTACAGATATATTTGCGAGTGCAGTTCAAGATGCTGGTCACCACTTTTAAAGCCCTACGTGGTTCAGGGCCTGAACAATTAAGAAACCACCTTTTTTAGATAGTATCTACTTCTCTGTCCCAGACAACTGTGGAGCACTTATTAAGGGTGCCAACATCTCACCCAGAAAGTATAGCTATTGTGGAATAGCTTGGGTCCAGAGGCATGGATTTCCAGAGAAAAAATTGCAGACTACAGAAACCAGGAGCACCACTCGGGGGACCCTGAGGACACAGATAAACCTCCAAGGGCTTCAACGACCCACTAAAAGGATGGAGATTACCAGTTGTCTGCAAGGAATATAAATCCTTCCATTCCCCACTATCCTATCAGAGATGAAGAAGCTTCTTGAATGAGAAGCCTTTTGTCCTTGAGAAGATGTCTTCAAAAGAAAAAACAAAGTCCAGTTGCCTCCTGAAAAAGCACCTTTGGGGTCTCCTCAGGAAAATTTCAAGGCACCTAGGATGATCTCATCACAGCCACACCAGAAGCAGTTAAGATAGGTAGCTTCCTTAGATATTGAATTATAACATCTATCCTATTGCAATTCTATGGTGCCATATTTTGGCAATTTTATCACGGTTTTACTGTAATATTTTATCTCATCTATTGTATTGTCAACACACTTTACATACATTTATCTGCTAAATGTAAGTAATTATTTGCCTTGGCCCAATGAAGCAGGAAAATGTTTTCTGAAAATTGCAACCCTCTTTTCTCTTGGTTTCTTTTAGTGGCTGGCTGGCTGCCGTAACTTTTTTTGGCACTAGTGTTGGCGCTGGTGTGATCATGCTCTTCCCAGCAATTATGTTCACCTTGTGCGCTATTGGGATGCTTATATGTCTCATCCGGGTGAGTCAGAGGGTTTTTTTTTGGTTTTGTGGTGCATCCTGTGCCTCTTCAGGGGTGGGGGTGGGGTGCAAAAGAGGGTTATTCTGGGACTCCATTAAGCATAGGCCATCATATGGGCACCATATAATGCTCTAATTCATGGCTGCCCCCTCTCCAACTGACTGGGTGGACTAAAAGTCAGATCCCAAAGAAAATTAATGATATAAATTGCATTAAATGTTTGCAATTATATAAATTACATTCAATGTCTCTAAGATCCCTTCCAACTCTGTTATTCTAGTCCCATTCCATTCCTGTCCTGTCCTGTCCTATCCTATCCTATCCTATCCTTTCCTATTCCTATTCCTATTCCTATTCCTTTTCCTATTCCTATTCCTATTCCTATTCCTATTCCTATTCCTATTCCTTTAATGTAGCTTTACAATTCTTTTTTGTATGTACACTGAGAGCTTATGCACCAGAGACAAATTCCTTGTGTGTCTAATCACACTTGGCCAATAAAGAATTCTATTCGATTCTATTCTACTCATACTCATACTCACACTCACACTCACACTCACACTCACACTCATATTCTAAACATGCGAATGGCTTGCTATTTTCTTTCAGGAGCATTGTTATTTATTTGACACATAACTTTTGAACATTCCTAAGTACAGTAACTTTTTCTCTGAAAGGAACCTTAATTAATAACATTAACAAAACATATTGTGATTAGCCAATGGGGTCATGAAAGCCAACTGGAACTACAAGGGGGCCTGAGTGGCGTAGGAGGCTAATGCCTCCTACTAAGGCAGCATTTAACATCCAGCTGCCTGCAATTACTGCGAGTTCAATTCTCACCAGGCTCAAGGTCGACTCAGCCTTCCATCCTTTCTAAGGTGGGTAAAATGAGGACCCGGTTTGTGGGGGCAATAAGCTGACTTTGTATAAAATATACAAAAGTATGAAGGCTATTGCTTAACGCATTGTAAGCCGCCCTGAGTCTCTGGAGAAGGGCGGCATATAAAAATAAAAAAAATAAAAGGGGGCAATTTAAAAATCACTCTGAAATCTTAGTCCCTGTCTCCCAGACTAAACATCCCTACATCCTCACCTCTGATTCCTTCTTTTTTTTTTTTTCCTAAACCAGGTTAAATGAAAGAAAATCAATGCTTTGGATGGAACTGCAAAACGGACGTCCTAACAGATAGAGGCTTGATTCCTACTTTCTTTCTTTATCTCTCTTTCCAATCAGGTTCACCGGATCTACCGTGGCGGAGGTGGAAGCTTTCAGAAAGCCCAGAACGAATGGCAGAATGGATCGTGGAAAGATCCTCCGAGCAGGGAAGCCCAGCACAGCAACTTTTCAGGAAACAGCCTTCCTGAATATCCAACGGTTCCCAATTATGGAAACCCCTGGTCCTGATCCTGGCCTGCTGTTGGGCTGCTGAAGTAGTTTGGTTTGAGTTGTTGCAAGAAACACATTGGGCTTCTCATTTGAGTTTCTCTCTCTCTCTCTCTCTCTCTCTCTCTCTCTCTCTCTCCCTCTCTCTCTCTCTCCCTCCCTCCCTCCCTCCCTCCCTCTCCTTCTTTCTCTCTTTCTCTTTTTCCTTTAGGGGTGGTGCTCTTTCTTCCCCTAACCGTGGTTTTATTTATGGTTCTCCTTTTATGATGGCAGCAGCTTGTGCCAAGGCATGACTGTTGCCCATAAAATTTGATTAGTCCTATTTTTATTGATAGGAATCCCCTTTTTTTTTCCTCCCATCTATATCATTCTTGCCAACAGATGCACAAGGAACTGGATAAAACTGTCATTTCTCTTGACTGCCTCGTTTTGAGAGGGCAGCCGTTCACCACCAAGATTCCCCTGTAGATTTTGGGAAAGTGACTTAAAACTTTTCTCGCCTTTTCCCTGTTTTTTGAGCTTGCTCATGTGCTAATCCCGGCTCCCTGTATCTTTGGGGATCCTGCAGCTCAAGAGATTGTTGTGAAAAGAAATGTGTGCGAGTGTGATAGGCACAAAGAGCAGCTTGTTCATGACGACAGCTATTTTTTGATGTTTGCTGCTATCAGAGCAGGAGTTTTGTAACTGAATCCTTCTCCCAGGAAAATAATTCCTGGAAATAGAAAGTTAGCAGCATGATTTATCTTCTCACTGAACTGCTAGCTTTCCGTATTGGAGAACTGTATTAATTAAAGGGGGATGAGTTCAAATATGGCCCCTGCTCTCCTAAAATAGGACCCATTTTCTGGAAGTTTCGACCTGTTAACAGGTCTTTGTTTTGCTTATTTGTTTTGTTCAGAGTGTGTTGCTCTATGCTCTCTTCTTCCTACCTTGCTGGCTATTAACTTGCTTGCTAAAATAGAAACTTTGAAGGGTGACTATGACCTGGTCTGAGCCTGTCCCTCTTGGAAATTCTCTCCCCCAACCCCATAATTAAACCACAGAACTTTTCTCATTGCTGGTACTGACAGATCAAATTCTGTTCGATTATTCCACTTTACCTCAAAGCGGATGGATGAGACTGCAAAGTGTCAAGACCCACAATCAGGCTGCATCTACGAGTATTTCTTTCCTCATATATATGTGTGTGTGTGTGTGTGTGTGTGTGTGTGTGTGTAATAGCCACTGAATGCAAGGAGATCTTTTATCAGTCTTTCTCAACCTCTGCAACTTTAAGAGGCGTGGACTTCAACTCTCAGAATTGGAATTCTGGGAGTTGAAGTCCACACCTCTTAAAATTGCTGAGGTTAAGAAGTATTGCTTTGGCTGGGCCAGTTCGACATTTCAGCAGTTCTCATCTATCTCTTCCACAACTTTCCAACGATCTTGGGTCTCCTATGGCTTTGGGGCACCCTGATCAGTCAGTGCTCTTCTTCTCCTCACCTGTGTGAGTCTAATTCTAGCATCCTGGGAGGTAAAATCCTCCCCAGAACTTGAGCCAATTCCTTCTCCAAGGATGCTTTTTGGAAGGTACCAGTTATTGTGCTACCTCGGGCAGTCTTGTCCAATCTGATCCAACACACTGGGGCAGCAGCACCTTAGCTATGCTGGTGAGGGATTTCATGGTTTATGCTCCCCATATATCTGGAAGCGGTCAGATGTGGCTAGGCTGCCTCAAAGCATTCAGACTCCCAAATCTTGGGTGCAGTCTTAAGGATAGCTGTTAAGTCATCTGGACCTTAACCCTCTCGTCCAGCAATTAGTTGCCTTTTCAAGCCATTGCTTTTATATTTGCTTTCTGAGGAGCAGGCTTGTCCTAGGTTTCTCCCCCCCCCCTTTCTTCTTTACAAAATACATTACGTTTTGGGAAAACGATGTGGGTTTATCCAAAAAATGTGAAAAAGCACCTCCGGACAGAATGGAGACCAGGGATAGGACCGAGAAGCGGGTTGTAATATGTGCCTTATCCAATTTTACCTGCTCTGGTTTGTTTCTCTCCCCCCAAATCCCAGCTTTTTTTTTTTTTTTTTTTTGCATATTTAGTGATCCTGGGAGGATTCCCTCCTGGTTCATTGGGAAACTGCCTGTTTTGTAAATACAAGGGCCAAATTCTCCCCCTCAAGTGAGCCAAAGAAAATGAAAACTCTCAATGCTAGAGGCCAAAAATCTCCCCTGGCCTTTCTTTGGGAATAGATTTGTGAAAATGAGCCTCTCTTTCTTTCTCTCTCTCTCTCTCTCTCTCTCTCTCTCTCTCTCTCTCTCTCTCTCCTTGTGAGATTTCTTGATACATTCCAAATGTGGGCTTTGAAAAAAAACAAAAACAAAAAACGGTACCTGCCATTTTAAAACGCATTACACTTGTTCCAAAGTGCCAGAGAACCGCCGCTTTAAAATTGCCTTGCTGACATCATGGCCATTGCATTGCATGAGCTTTACTTCCTTTGCTTTTGCCTTAATTGCTTAAAAAAAAAATCAGGGGGGGGGATTGCTGCCTAGCTAATAGCTGCCCTTGCAGGGTCCCTGTTATAGGCATGCCCCATCTCCATTTCCTCAGAGGAACCCCCTGCTAAACATTTCCTCAGTACCACCAGTTGCTTTTTTTTTTTTTTTACCCTGCACTTTTGGACTTCCCAGTTTGGCTGCTGGGAAGAGAAATGAGCTGACTGGTTCTTGAAACTCAGGATACCCAGGCAGGCAGCTCCTGGGTACTAGGCTGCCTTAAAAGCATCTCGGTGGACTCCTCAGATGGATGGCCGTTTTCTCAAAAAAGCAGCGCGAAGTGGGACCAGACTTCTTGCCAAATTGCAGAGGGGTTCTGTTCCTTCTGGAGGAGTCTCAGTCAGCAAAGACCCCTCAAGTTCTCCTTTAACGCCGGTTAAATAACAGCAGCAGCAGCAGCAAATGTTGTTCCTGTTGAGTTATTTTGCAGAAGGGGGAGTGGGCTTGTAGTGCAGGCCAGCTGTTCTCTGGATACCAAGCGGGAATTCTAATACTAGAGAAGGAAATGCCCGAGATGAGATCTGCAAAATCAAATTATCCAAGCCGAAAACTGTGGTCTTGGCAAACATTTGGGTGAGGGTATCTCCCGGGAATTCACTCGTTTCTGTACCATGGCTCTGCCCACTCCAGGAACCCCGCCAACCATCATCTCCTGCTGCAGTTTTTGTTCTGGCGCTCTTAGCTCTCTTCCTCAAATCACGCTGTCCTTCAGAACAACGTTTTGAGAACTGAATCGCTTGCCAATGTATCATGTCCGCCATTGTCTTAATATAATGTACTTATAACACTTAATTTTTTTGTAAATGTTTACATTATTCCCAAGGGAACTAATAACATGGGTTTGGGTCAAGAGATGGATGTTGTGGAGAATTAACTCTACTATTCTTATTCTGCATCATGTTGTAGATTATTTGTTTGCATTGTGATGTGGTGTGGTGTTAATTCATTCAGGGTTTTTTTTTTCCCCCTTTAAAAATAAATGAAGCTTGGCTACTGGAAGTAGAAGCTGTGTTTATGTAATGTCAGATGAAATACTTTGTTCAGTCTTTTGGAAAAAGGTTTTAGGATTGAAAGATTCTTCAGAATAAGAAGTTGTACATTAGATGGCCTATTTCAACATTTTTGGAACACTCTTTTTGGAAACTGCAGATAATATTTGCCATCTTAAAAGACCTTTTATAAATAGTGATGCCTTATGACACAGAGTTTCACTGTTTTTCCAAATTCCTCTCTGATTTTAGATGAAAATAGGATATTTCTCTGTGTGAACAGAATTGCTAATCCTAGTTAAAAAACAGAACCCTATATATATATATATATATATATATTTAATTTAATTTAATTTAATTTCCAATTTATATACCGCCCTTCTCCCTGAGGACTCAGGGCGCTGTACAGCCAAGATAAAAACATAGAATACAAATCTTAAAAACAGTTAAAAATATATATAAATTTTGGCCCGAAAGTTAAGAAATCACAGACTGATTAAAAGAATTTAAAAAATTTCTTCTTAAGCCAGCCCGGCTTGCTGGAAAAGATGGGTTTTAAGGGCACGACGGAAGGCACTGAGGTCATGGATTCTCCTTATCTCAGGGGGCAACTGATTCCAGAGGGTAGGAGCCCCCACAGAGAAGGCCCTCCCCCTGGGGGTCACCAGCCTACATTGTTTGGCTGATGGCACCCTGAGGAGGCCCTCTCTGTGGGAGCGCACGGGTCGATGGGAGGTCGTCGGTAGCAGCAGGTGGTCTCACAGATAGCTAGGCCCTATGCCATGGAGCGCTTTAAAGGTGATAACCAACACCTTGAAGCGCACCCGGAAGACCATTGGGAGCCAGTGCAGCTCGCGCAGGAGCGGTGTTACATGGGAGCGCCATGTCGCTCCCATCACTACCCGCGCTGCTGCATTTTGGACCAGTTGGAGCCTCCGGGTGCTCTTCAAGGGGAGCCCCATGTAGAGAGCATTGCAGTAGTCAAGGCGAGAGGTGACTAGGGCGTGAGTGACTGTGCACAAGGAATCCCGATCGAGAAAGGGCCGCAACTGGCGGATCAGGCGAACCTGACAGAAGGTCCCCCTGGTAACAGCCGTCAGATGTTCCTCCAAAGACAGCTGCCTATCCAGGAGGACTCCCAGATTGCGAGCCCTTTCAGTGGGGGCCAAAGACTCGCCCCCAATAGTCAGTGATGGAGTCAACTGACTATATCGGGATGCCGGGAGCCACAGCCACTCAGTAATATAAAATATAAAATTGCAAATACATTAGATAATTAGACAATTAAAAAGGGACTTCATCTAACTGGATTCAGATGCCTGAGGTAAATATATTTTATGTATTTACATATAAGTACATAATAAATAAAAACAAATAGAAAATGCATAACTAATTCATGGACTACAACACGAGGACTCTAATTCTTGGGGGGGGGGGGAGGCTAATTCATAAATAATAAAATTGAATAAGTAGCTTGCATATAAGTTACCAAAAGGCTACCAATAGCAAAAGACACAATATACAGTTAGCCCTCAATTTACAACCGTTTGTTTAATGACTGAAGTTACAAACAGCAGTGGAAAAAAAAGACTTAATCACTAGTTTTCACACTAACAACCATTGCAGCAACCCATGGTCACACGATCAATACATGGTCATAAATACATGCCAGTTGAGCACTTGGCAACTGACGTGTATTTATGGCAGCTGCAGTGGAGTCCCAAAACAACTGGCACACCACTTGAACATCAATGGCATTGACAAATTCACCATCAATCAATTGCAAAAGACAGCTTTACTCGGAACAGCTTACATCCTGCAGCATTACCTCTAACACTATCAAACATCCACTTCTGCCTATCCCAGGTTCTTAAGAAAGACTCGACAGGAGGATAAAAATGCCATATCCGGTCTGAACATCTGGCTGACTGAGATGAACCATAGTGATAATTATATAATGTATCACAGATAAATATCCATCAGTAGATAAATAACAGATACCATTACCCAAATCATCTCGCTTCCTGGTTAACACAACACTATTATAAGTGTTCACTGCTTCAGGAACATGTTATATTTGAAGTCACTGCTACAACCTTAATGAAATTCTTTACAAGTTCTGATTTATAAACTCAGTGCTTTCCTATTTAGCTCCCTTTTTACAACCCTGTAATTCCTTAATTTGGGCTAGAGTTTGGGTGACTGGATGGAGCTGAGCGTTTACTGGCTGGATGCCCTTCCTGACACCTACATGGAGTTCACAGCAGATATTTTTTCTTTGTACCCTAGGAGAGAAACAACTTCCACTACCTAGGACTGAACTCAACCTTCTGAGTGGGAGGCAAGCATCTTCACCACTAGGCCACCATGCTGCTTTTTCCTATTAGCTTTTTTAGTTGCAAAAAAAGACTGGAAGATCTGTGTAATGTGGCAAAAGATGTTTCTCAATGTCTTCTTAGTTTCTACTATTCTCTTTAAACTACACAATTGTCCCACAGGAGGCAGCGCTACCCCTTTGGGGAAATGCTGATTTAAATTGTGCTTAAAGAACAATGGAGCTTACTCACAATTAGATTAGACTTAATTTAAATCCCCTTCATTTGTGGGTATAATGTCAGCTTACTTGGCAGCTCAACAAGTTCAACCTGTCTGTTTTACATTTAGCAGGGAGAAGAAAGGCTGTTTTATCCAACTAACTCTTTGGCAGGTGCAAAATAGTCCCCAAATTAATTTAGCACAAGCCATGATAATATATATTAGCCTTTTGTCTGTGAACAGAGCTCTGCCTGTTTTTCTTTAATGTTTTCTTTCCCCAGCTGAGGATTGCTTTGCATTTTTGCTTATCAACTTCATAGATTTAAAAAAGATTTCTCTCTCCCTGTTTTTCATGCTAAATCTGCTTCTCATTATAAATGATGACCCAGCTCTCTAATGCTAGGAAAGGCAGAAGGAAAAAGAAAAGATGGTTGGTAGCAGTGTGTGAAATCCCACAGATAACTGAGCAAAAATGGGTCGCAGAGGGCCCACACCACACCACCTGCACTCCCTTTTGGGCCTAGTAGGCCTCCCTGCACTTACTTGGGAGCCAAAATGGGGTGCATGGGGACTCGGGAGGGGAGGGGCCAGCCAGCAATTTAACAACCGTTTTTTCCCAAACCGGCTGAATCCCACCTCTGCCTGGCAGTAATAACCAATGCTGACGGGTACTTTTGGAAAATCTGAAGGACCAGGTTAGCGGTAACAGAATAACAGCATTGTAAGTTACTGGGAGGACTTCTAGTCCAACCCCCTACTCAAGCAGAAAACCCTATACCAGTAGCCCCTAACCTTTTGGGCATAGGGGAAAGTAGGAGGGGGGATTCAGTAGAATGATTGTAGTTAGACATAATAGCATTCTTCCCTTTGGTCAAGGTCATGGTGTTCCTGCATCTGAAGGAGGAGCGGTTGCAGTGATGGCTCAAGTTGGGACGGATGGTGATTTGGTCATGTGATGGACTGATGGGTGCAGGGCAGGGGTGAAATCCAGCAGGTTCTCAGGTTCTAGAGAACCGGTAGTGGAAATTTTGAGTAGTTCGGAGAACTGGCAAAAACCACATCTCGCTGGCCTCAGTGGGGTGGGAATGGAGATTTTGCAATATCCTTCCCCCAGGAGTGGGGAGGGAATGGAGATTTTGCAGTATCCTTCCCCTGGAGTGGGGTGGGAATGGAGAGTTTGCAGTATCCTTTCCCTGCCACGCCCACCAAGCCACACCCACAGAACCGGTAGTAAAAAAAAATTGGATTTCACCACTGGTGCAGTGGCTGGATTTGGGGTTTTGATTTACTGAGGGAAAACCCAGAAGTCTCAGATTCGGGTTTTCCCAGATGTGCTCGTATACCTATTCCAATAAATGAAAGTTTTGAGATGATGCTTGTCTCGGAGTTTTCTATAGGAGTTGGGTCGTTCTGGATATCTGACAGCCCTTGATTCTAGCAGGAAATGAAGTGGAACAGATTTCAGATCCTTTAAAGGACCAAGGAGCTGCTGATACAGTTCTACAGAGGAATTATTGAGTCTATCATTTCTACTTCTAGAACTGTCTGGTTTGGCACAGCAACCAAACAGCACAGGTACAAACGTCAATGTATAGTTAGGACTGTAGAAAAAAAAACAATTGCAATCAGCCTGCCTTTCACTGAAGGATCTGTATACTGCATGAACCAGAAAGAGGGCTGAGGAAATACCTACAGACCCCTTACATCCTGGACGTAAACTGTTTTAACTTCTCCCTTTAGGACACCACTACAGGGCATTGCATGCCAAAACAACTAGACACAAAGACAGTTTTCCGCCCCATGCCATCATTCTAAACACTTAATTCCTGCAGTACTGTCTTATGCCTAAAGATATTCACCCATATAGTAAGGGTGTATTGCTATTACCCTTCTCATCTTTCCTACTACCTCCTCCTATTGGTATCTTACGATTTATCACTTGTTTGTATCTTATGATTTATGATCTATGCCTTACCACTGCTTGTATGTACACCAAGAGTTTATGTACCGTAGACAAATTCCTTGTGTGTCCAATCACACTTGGCCAATAAAATATTCAATAGAAAGCAGTGTTTCTCAATGTCAGTGGCTTTAAGATGTGTGGACATCAATGGGAGTTGAAGGCCACACGTCTTAAAGCCACAATGTTGAACAACAGTGCCTTAAAGGGTTAGCAATCCATCTTGCTTAAATGGGTTTATTTATTTAATTTATTTTATTCAATTTGTATACCACCCTTCTCCTGGTGGACTCAGGGCGGTGCACAGCCAGAACTAAAACACATACCAATACAAAATTTAAAATTATTAAAAGAATTACATAACTTTGGCCCAAATTTAAAACAATTCAAATTAAAACCCATGGACAATTTAAAAGCTAAAAAACTAAAAAAGACTAAAGAAGGGTTAAATCAGAACTGTTATTCTGTTCCTATGGTTGGGATAATGCCTCCCATCATCCTATCCTCTTCATTAT